GGGGTCTGTGCACAGGTGCAGGTGTGTGTGAGGGGTCTGTGCACAGGTGCAGGTGTGTGTGTGGGGGTCTGTGCACAGGTGCAGGTTTCTGTAGGGGTCTGTGCACAGGTGCAGGTTTCTGTAGGGGTCTGTGCACAGGTGCAGGTGTGTGTGAGGGGTCTGTGCACAGGTGCAGGTGTCTCCTGGCTAATTTTTATCTAAACCTGGATTTAACCCAAGACTCTCCATTATTATTGCTTTTGCCTTCCTCATTTGGATTCCTAGGGTAACCTTTGTTAGAACAATAAGTTGTTTGAGCTTTGGTCGGCTCTTCTCCCGTTTATATGTGTGTGTTAATGCACACACCGTGATCAGAGCACAGCCTGTTGGAGAGTAGTTTTCTCCTTCCATGTGAGATTGAACTGATGTCATCAGGCTTAGTGGCAATCACCTTCACCCAAGCCATCTTCCAGGCCCCACGGTTTTTGTTTTTGGACCGTGTCTCATGTGGCCCAGGCTGTGACTGAATCCCTCATTCTCCTGGCTTCCCAGTTCTGGAATGACAGATGTGTGCCTCCCTACACCACATTCTGAATTTCTGTTCTTTTAGGCAGGGTCTTGCTTTGAAGCCTAAGCTGGCCTCTTGCTTGTGGTCCCCCTGCCTCAGCCTCTTGTGTGCGGGAATGTCCATGCTGCCAAACATGGCTGCTGCCTCAGAGTCTTTTGTTTTTGCAGCAGTGGGAATGGAGTCTGGGCCTTGGACATGCCGGGAAACAGGTCTACCACTGAGCTCAGTCCTCGGCCCTCTTTAAAGTTGCCCGGGTAGGCCTTGAACTTAAGATCCTTAGCCTCTGGGGTGTCCTGACCCGATAGTGTCCTTTAAAAAGTTCTAACTCTACTATGAAAGTTTTGATTAAGGTTAACAAGTTCTGAGCATAAAAGACATCAGGAGAAATCTTCATTTTAGTGACATCAGAATATACTCAACTGTCCCACCATTATCCCAACCTCTTCATTATACAGTTGGCTACAAAAAAAAAAAAAAATTAGCGGGGTGGCAGCACACACCTTTAATCCCAGCACTTGGGAGGCAGAGGCAGGCAAGCTCTGTGAGTTCGAGGCCAGCCTGGACTACAGAGCGAGTTCCAGGACAGCCAGGGCTGCCATGCAGAGAAACCCTTTTCATTTTACCTTCCTGTTTGAGCCTTCCCCCTCTCCTCTGAGAGAGAAGGGTTGGCAGCTGCAGAGTAGGTCTTCTGTAGAGGAGCAGGTCTCTCACTGCTAGCTCTTAGGATCTGTCAAGAGAATGGTCACCCTGGTTTATATAAATCTCACAACTTTCACATGGGGCCTCACATTTTGAAAAAAAAAAAATGCTTTAAGGGTCCCAAACAGCTCACTTCCGCTAGGCTTTAACATATCTTTTGGTTTTAAATTCACCGTGTCTAACAGTGGTCTAGCCTGGACTCCCTGCCCCCCCCCCCCCCCCCCCCCCCCGCCTCAACCCTGTTTTAGCTTGAGTGCACAACCTGGAGGCTGTGTTAGAGGAGGAAGAGACGTGCCCTCCTGAGGACAGAGTTTATTGAAGGAACTAATAAACAGAGGACAATTCATGGTAGGGAATAGGATTTTACTGGTGAGTTTTAAGTGACTTCCAACATTGGTAGCAATGGAAAGAAAGCAAGAAAATGATGTCATCACACACCTTTAATCCCAGCACCCAGAGGCAGGTCGATCTCTGGGAGTTCGAGGCCAACCTGATCTACAGAGCGAGTTCCAGAACAGCCAGGACTACACCAAGAAACTTGTCTCAAAAAAAAGGGGGGGAGGCGGCTGGGGAAATGGCTCAGCAGTTAAGAGCTCTGGCTGTTCTTGCAGATGACCCAGGTTCACCTCCTAGCACCCACATGACAACTCACAACTGTAACTCCAGTTTCAGGGTATCCGACATGCTCATACAGACAGATGTGCAGGCAAAAACACCAATGCACATGAAATGAAAATAAAATCTAAAACAAAAAGTCATGGGCTTAGAGGTGTAAGTTAGTAGAGTGCTTACCTGGCGCTCACAAAGCCTGGGTTTGAGTCCCAGCTTAGTACCCTACCTGTAATCTTAGCACTTTGGAGGCTGAGGCAGGACTGTGAGTTCAAGGCCTGCCTGGTCTGCAGAGGGCTGGCAAGGTCGTTGAGCAGCTGGAGGTGCTTTTGCTGAGCCTGATGGCCTGAGTCATCTTGGGACTGACTTGAAGGAGAGAAGGGACTCCCACGGAGTCCTGTGACCTCTATATGCCTGCTACGAACACACAAAATGACTGTGTCGTGTGTGGGGCTGGGGCTGTGGCTGGATTGACCTGGAGGGATGGCTGAACAGCTAAGAGTGATTGCTGCTCTTCCAGAGGACCTGAGTTCAGCAGCCATGTCAAGCAGCTCACAACCACCTCTAACTACAGCTCACGAGATCCACTACCATCTTAGCGCTTCTTTGGGCACCTGCTTACATGTAGTATACACGCGCACTGACACACACAAAATAAAAGTTTTTCAAAAATAAAAGATGGATTTAGAAGTTATTGGCTCAGAGGTGATAAATTCTAGGAATTAATGCAAATAATAATAGATAATAATAATAATAATGCATGCCTATAATCCCAACACTCCATAATTGGAAGTAGGAAGTATGCTGTTGAGTACAGACTATAGTAAGTACCAAGCCAGCCCTGTCTGAAATAACCTGTGGTAATACGACAAACCTAAAATCCCAGTTTGTGGGAGGCAAATGCAAGAGGGACAGGAAACCTCATCTGCTACTTACTGAGTCCCAAAGCTACCTGAAACCTATCTCAAAAGGCTCTACTCAGAGAAGACACACAAAGAAATAGAAGACAATGAAAGAGACTTAGGTAAATTACAGAGGCATTACAGAACAAAAGATCCCCGATAAAGGTGACCAATTCTTTTTCAAGTGATTTTGAATGAGTCATTTTAAAGTGGCTCATAAACCGGCTGTGAGGAGCTGAAATGCTTGTGCATGATGTCCTTCCTAGCAGTTGTAGGTTAAGGTCGGGTTAGCCCAAGTCCTCTGCTGATTTGCTTTAGTTAAAACCACAAAAGCTTAACCAAGCCTTTTAAATTTTGAGCAAGTCATTAATTTGGAAGGGGATATTAATCTATTAGAGTGTTGGATTCTTCCTACAGTCATGCCTCCCCACCGAGTGTGTGTGTGTGTGTGTGTGTGTGTGTGTGTGTGTGTGTGTGTGTGTGTGTGTAAAATTAGGGCAAGAGAATGGTTACAATGGTTATGAGCACTTACTGTTTTTGATCTGAATTCAGTTCTCAGGACCCACGTTGGGCAGCTCAGAACTGCCTGTGATTCCAGCCCCGGGGACCTGATGCCCTCTTCTGGCCTCCATGGGCGCTAACATATATACGTAACATACACACATAAATAGAAAATTAAAATATTTGAAAAAATCAGTTTGTTACATAAAAACTATTTTGGCTTGTAGCTGAGGTCATTGGAGAGTGGTACTAACCTGCTGCTGCTGACAGTGAGAAGAGCCTGAGACTAGCAGGAACTAGCTGTCACATAGCGATGACCAACCTGCTTAGATGTAAATTATCCACTGGTAAGACTAGAAGGTTAAAAAGAAAGAGGTTCTATAGGACTTAGAGGAATCAACCCGGATCCGACCTGAAAGTCTCTTCTGGGGACAAGCCTTCAAAGTACCAGAAAGTCTTATGCAAGCTGTCAGAGGGGAAAACCAAACAATATCCTGCCCAACTATAGAGTCTATGAACCACAACAATGACCGATATGGCAAGATAACCCTAAACATGCAGTAGTGACTGTTGACTGGACTCAAGGCCCACTCCATAGGGGAGTTCACGCCTGGTGATCCTGGCCGGCTATTGTGACTGGTGAGGTCGTGGGTCTTAGAGGACCCACCCTGCCACTTCTTGAACCAGTATAATCTCCTAAATGCTTACCCTAATACCCACAGATAAGTGCAGTCGTTTTTTACTCTTTACTCTTTGGGGGCCCACCACCCAGCTCCCAAATAAATAACTGGAGACTTGTTCTTACTTTTGAATGTCTGGCCTTAGCTTGGCTTGTTTCTAGCCAGCTTTTAAATTATCCTGTCTACCTTTTGCCTCTAGGCTTTCACCTTTCCCTGCTTTATATGTGTTTCTTTACTTCTTGCTCCTTTGCTGGCTGGGTGGCTGGGTGGCTGACCCTGGTGTCCTCCTCTCCTCCTTTATTCTCTCTCTTCCTGTTTATTCTCTCTGAATGCCAGCTCTGCCTCTTCTCCTGCCTAGCCGTTCAGCTCTTTATTAGACCAATCAGGTGTTTTAGGCAGGCAAAGTAACACAGTTTTACAGAGTTAAAAAAATGCAACATAAAAGAATGCAACACATCTTTGCATCAGTAAACATTCCACAGCATAAAAGAGTATAACACACCTTTAACTAATATTCCACCACAGGTACGTGTAGCTCTCACCCCTCACAAGAAAAGCTTCATTTTGAAGCAGACTAGACCATTACAGAAAGCCACAAGTGATCAAAATGCAGAGAAACAACTGACTGTAGGGCATCCAGTACCAACTGATACATCTGCAACACAACCCCTATATCTACAGCTTGGAACACTGAGGAAGAAGGGTCAGAAAGACTGTAAGAGCCAGAGGATGAGAACATTAGCTGTGAGATTGTGTCTTCTGTATATGACAGGAAGCTCACCCGTAAAACCTCAACAATATGGCCAAACAAGACCTGAACAGTCCCAACACCAGTTGACATACCAACTTGGATGAGGGAAATCTCATGGAGCCCCACCTCTAGATGAAAAGCTACAAGCAATTGAGAGAGGAAGAATTAAATTAGTCATTTCCAGGGTTGAGCCCCCTAACTGATTATCCAATCAGTTGTTAGCCCTAAAAAAAAACAACACATATAAACAACACTAAATTCACTCATAAACTCAGCAGGTTTTATATATATGTTTTTCTAGACAGGGTCTCTCTCTGTGTGTAGCCCTGGCTGTCCTAGAACTCCCTCTGTAGACCAGGCTGGCCTCGAACTCACAAATTCTCCAGTCTCAGCCTCCAAAGTGCTGGGGTTAAAGGCAAGTGTGCCACCACACCTGGCATATATATTTATGGAAGTGTGTGTGTGTGTGTGTGTGTGTGTGTGTGTGTGAGAGAGAGAGAGAGAGAGAGAGAGAGAGAGAGAGAGAGAGAGAGAATAATTAAGGAGAAGGTTGGGCATAGTGGTGCACACCCTTAATCCCAGCTCTTACGAGGTAGAAGGTAGAGGTTGGTGAATTTCCATAAATTCAAGGCCAGTCTGGACTGCATAGTGAAACCATGCCTCAAAAGAAAGGAAAAAAAAAAGCCATAAATTTGTGGGTTGGGGGGTGACATGGGATGGGTTGGTGGGAGAAGGGGGGAAATGTTGTAAATATAGTACATATATGAAATCTAAAGAAATAATTTTAATCCAGAAGGTATCCAGATAGTAGGAAGCTAGAGGCAAAAAGACATTTATTTGAAAAGTAAAATAAAAACCAGTGCCAGTAGGATGGTCCAGCCGTCAAAGGTGCTGCCAAGCCGGAAGACCTTGGCTGGATCCTGAGTCCACACAGTAGAGGGACTCCTGGAAATGATCTTCTCACCCCACAGGCATGTTCTCATGCACACCACCACACCACACACACATACACACACACACACACACACACACACACACACACACACACACATTAAAACTTACTGCGTGGGGAACAGGATGTCCCAAGTGAACGCACCCTTGACATGGGCAGTCATGTCAAGTGCCGTAACCCGAGACCCACGGAAAAATGGCACACACACCCCCATGAGGCTCAGAGGATGGCAAAGCCTTCCTCTCATCCAAATGCAGAGGTTGAGTCTATGCACAAAATGTCCACCATAGCTTTATCCCTCCCCCTGATACTGCCTGAAGACTGGTCCCCTACAGAGACTTCTGCTGAGGTTAACTGAACCTGCTTCCTTGCTCAGCTGTTTGGTAATCTTGAGACCTACTTCAGATGTATTCGATAACCTGCCTGTCGCCTCTCTGTTCAATTGTGTATGATAAACACACCACGCTTCCCCATCAGAGGGCCCTGTCCACCTGACCCCACTTTTCTGTGTGCTTGTTTCTGAGTGTGTGTCTCCTCTCTGTTCTCAGGACTGGAGCCTTTCAAGCGTTACACCTCTGTACTGCGGGCACGGGGAAGGCTGGGGTGAGAGGACTGAGAATTCGTGTCCAGGCTAGAGATGGAGCTCAGTGGACTTGCATGCCAGGGTGCCAGGTTCAATCCCCAGCACAAGAGGGGACAGGAGTTGGAGGCCGTTTTGGACAACACAGCAAGTTCCAGTCCAGCCTGGACTATATAGTGAAACCCCATAAAACAAAACAGGCCAGGCAAGGTGGTGCTCACCTTTAATTCCAGTACTCAAGAGATAGAGGTAGGTGGTTCTCTGAGTTGGAGACCAGTGTGGTCTACATAGTGAGTTCTAGGACACTCTGGGCTACACAGTGAGATTCTGTCTCAACCAACCAACCACAGTGCACAGGGGTGGTGGAACTTGCCTATAATTCCAGCACTGAAGAGGCTGAGGAAAGAGGATGATAGGTTTGACTATTCTGGGATACATAGCCAATTCTAGGCTAGCCTGTCTAAATTAATTAAGTAAATTAACAAACAAGAAAACAGTAATTTGGAATTGTCAAGTGGAGATGCCTGGTTTTATCTGTTCTGAATTCATGAAGTACTGACCCAGTGGAACAGGAGAATTTCAAGGTTGTGCTGACTAATTTTATGTCGACTTTGTAGGTGGAAATTTCTGTCCTGCCAGCCAGCTCCCAAATAACAACATAGAGACTTATTATTAATTATAAATGCTTAGCCGATAGCTTAGGCTTGTTACTAAGTAGCTTTTACAACTTAAATTAACCTATATTTATTAACTTACATGCTGCTGCGTGGCTCATGGCTTGTTACCTCACCTGCCCGTCCTGCTTCCTCTGCATCTGGCTGGTGACTCCACCCTTCTTCTTCTAGGAGTTCTCTCTGTCTGGCTTTTCCACCTATACCTACTCCTGCCTAGCTATTGGCCATTTAGCTCTTTATTAAACCAATGAGAGCAACACATCTTCACAGTGTACAAAAAGATTTTTCCACAGCACAACTTGACATGGGCTACGGTCATCTGAGAGGAAGAAACCCCAATTGAAAAAAAAAAAAAACTTCCATAATATCTGGCTGTAAGGCATTTTCTTAATTTGTGATTGTTGGGGAAGGGCCCAGCCCATTGTGGATGGTGCCATCCCTGGGCAGGTGGCCCTGGGTTCTATAAGAAAGTAGGTTGAGCAAACCTGTGAGGAGTTCCCCTCCCATGGCCTCTGCATCATCTCTGGCCTCCAGGATCCTGCCTTGTTAGATTTCCTGTCCTGACTTCCTTCAGTGATGGACTATGATATGGAAGTACAAATAAAACCTTTCTTCCCCCAACATTTTTTTTGGTCATGGTGTTTCATCACGGCGATAGAAACCCTGAGAAAAAGGTGTCATGGAAGATTTCATAGGAGGCCAGAACGAGCAGGATTGTAAACCTCAGTGAAGATAGAAAGGAGAAGATGAGCTGAGGATTAAAACACTGAGTGGGATGTAAATATATTCGAGAACAGGGAGGGGACAGTTCATTCACCATGGAGTCAAAAGGACAGATGGGTCTGTTGGGGTAGAAAAGGGTTGAAAGAGCAGAGTTAGTAAGCTACAGTGGTGAGATATAACAATAAAAATAAGTCTTTTAAAATTGTATTTTGAGACAGGGCCTCATTACAGCCCAGATTGGCCTTGAACTCAATATGTAGCCCAAGTTGACCTCTAATTGATCCTCCTGCCTCACTCAGCCTTGTCTTTGCTGGGATCACAAGGATGTGCCACCATGCCCAAGGAGAAATCTGAAGTATCTATCGGTCACGCAGGTTAGAAACCCTGGAGTGGTGTCTCGCACCTGAGGCTTCCAGTGGAAGGAGGATCTTCAAGTACTCCCCCGCTGGGAGGTCCCCTCCATCTGCAGCCTCCATTTTGTTAACTGTGGGGGCCTTTTTCCCTTCGCGATTGTTGACTGCCCTCTGCTGGTCAGTTCTTCCTTTGGCTCTCCAGAGAGTTTAATCTGAAAGCATGCGGAAAAAATGGGATTCTATTAGTTACTGTGATACATCTTTGATTACAACTGTGTTTAAAGCCTTGTGGAAGAGATCAAAACAAAACTGCATCCTAACTCTCAGGACAGGTACAGCCCAGTCTGAATGGAAATGAGAACACGGGTTCATTCATTCACATAACAAGGTAAAGAAAGACTCGAGTGTGAAGACTTCCCGCACGATGAGGGTGGAGGATGGGAGGAGCAGGAGGTGGTCAGAAAGTTTCTTTTCTTTCCTTTTTTTTTTTTTT